CGGCCACTTCCCCAATATGCCAATCAAGGGGACCAGTAGCGGTGAAGGGCAGAGAAAAGAGGTCTTGTCAAAGCGGACATGCTGGGAAGAAGAGATAACGGGGTTCAGTGACCCAAGTCATCTTCAAGGAGCAAGGGGGAGCTTTAAGATGTTTTAGAAAAAGGGAAAGGAAGGAGGCGCTAGGCATGCATAGCTGATGAAGCATGTGGCCGTGGTCAGCCCAGGGGTCTGATTCGTCAGAATCTCAGTTCTGTAGACGTCACTTCAGGGAAACAGTTCTCACTTGAGGGAAACAGTGCTCACTCCTGTTCTGGTTGCTTCTGCTGTCATGAAAACTGTTCTCTTTGGGGAGTGTGATAAGTCCTGCACGTGCTCCGCAGGGCTTAGTTTTGTTCTGTTTCTAAGATGTTTAGTGCCAACACCCCTAGAATGCAATGTAGCTACAGGAGTGATGCGGGAAGGAAAAACTAGAGGGAGGACAACAAGGGACAGTGGAGTGAGTGAGTGACACAGTGTGGTGCTCTCTCTAAAGCTCTACACGTCTCTAAGACAGACATGGTGGCCCATGACTGTAATCTCAATACCTGAGTGGCCAAAGCAGGAACGCTGCCAGGAGTTTGAGGCCATCTGAATAGGATTGCTTCAAGTTTCAGGCCAGTCTGAGTTATGCAACAAGACCCTATCTCAAAAATAAAAACAAAAACAAAAACAAAAAAAACCCTGCTTGGTGGGCTGGAGAGATAGCTCAGAGGTTAAGAACACTGACTGCTCTTCCAAAGGTCCTGAGTTCAATTCCCAGCAACCACATGGTGGCTCACAACCATCTATGAGACCTGGTGCCCTCTTCTGCCCTGCAGATGTACATACAAACAGAACATTGTATACATAATAAAATGTTTTTTTTTAAAAAAGCTTGGTGTTGTGGCCCATGCTTTTAATTCTAACACTCAGAGAGAGAGTGGATGGATCTCTATGATTTCAGCACCAGGCTGATTTACATGAAATTACATTTAAAAAAAATTGTATTTAAAAAAAAAAAAAAAAGGTACGAGCATTACAAGTATGTATCACCACAACCAGAGTGAATCCTATGGGCACTTAATTTGTTCTGGTCTTTTTCATATCTCTTTTATTGTATAGCAGGAACAAGCACAGATTTTTCAAAAGCAAACAGAGCAAGGCCTGGAAGCCGTGGCCCCACTTAGAGCCTCTTCACACCCCTCTTTCCATGAGCTTAGCTCCTCCACCAAATGGGAAGTGACACTGGCTGGTTCTTTACACCTCACCAAAAAGTCTCTCTAAAATGGGTATTTAGTTTAGTTTCTCTAAACTGGGTGTTTCCGTGAGCAGCCACTGAGAGCAGAGGTAAAACCAGGCCACAGCATGAGTCTTTACTTCCTCCAGCAACCACCTCTGCTTAGTTCCCAGGAGATCAGGTGTCTCTGCCCCAGGTGTGGGAGGTGTAGGCCTCAGCTGCCCTTCAAGAACTCCATCTGGGTCCAGAAGGACATTCTTAATGACCTTTTAAAGATCTCAAGGTCAGGCTGCATGCCTTTAATCCAAGCACTTGGGAGGCAGAAGCAAGTAGATCTCTGTGAACTTGAGAGCAGCTTGGCCTATATAAGAGTTCCAGAACAGCCAGGGCTACATAGAGACCCTGCCTCAAAAAAATTTCAGGGTCAAGATGTCTTGACATGTCAGATTGCCAAGGGAAGAAACCCTGAGACCAAGGTAGAGAAAGTCAATTTGGTCATAAAAGCTGGAGGACAACAAGAGACTGACCCAGGAGCCTTCTTGGAATCAAGTTTTCTCTCCAAAGATACTGGTAAACCTGGGGGTGGGGGAGGTGGCAGGGATCTTCATTCTTCATTTGTCCTCAACTTTTTTTTTTTGAGACTGGGCCTATTATCTGGAACTCGCTCTGTAGATAAGTAGATAGGGCTCACCTTGAATTTACAGAAATCTGCTTGCCTCTGCCTCCCAAGTGCTGGGAATGAAGGCGTGTGCCATCACTGCCAAATTTGACCTTGGTTAAGGCAAAGGCCTCCCTCAGAAGACCTCCAGCTAGCCAGTAACCTGGGTTACTCCTGTACTTGCAGTCCCACAGGTATCCTCCAGATGGCACTCTCCTCTGTCTCTCCTTTCCCTTCCTCTCCCTGCTTCTTTCTCCATCAGTTTACCAATGTGTACCTAACCAGGACAAACACATGAGAATTGTCCCTGAGGCAAGCAGCCTGCTGTATTAGAGTGACTCCAGCCACCCCACCTCCAGAATTGCAGTTTGTAATTCTTAATTTTATCAGCTTCAATCTAGAATCACTTGGGAAGAGAGTCCCAGTGAAGGGCTGCCTAGAGCATGTCTTTGGGGATTATCTTGATTACATTAATTGTGGAGGGAAGATCTGTCCACTGTGGGTGGAATAATTCCCTGGGTTTGGGTCCTGGGCTGTATAAGGACGAAAGCAAGCTGAGGGTAAGCATGCATGCACTCTTTTCTCGGTTTCTGATTAGTGGTGCAGCAGGACCAGCTCTCTTATGCTTCTCCTGCTGTGACTTCTCCATTGTGATGGACTGGAACCTGGACTCTGTTGAAATAACCCCCTTTTCCCCTACATTATTTTTGTCAGGGTATTTTGTCACAGTAACTGGAAATGAAACTAAGACACAGTCCCACGTGGAGACTCTAGACAAACAGATAGCATGGGCGGTGCTCCTGAGAGGACCCTGGCTGAGAGGAAGAGCTTACATGTCATCATGGTCTGGGATGGAAAAAGAGGAACCCTGGGGCTGTGGGCACAGGGAACCACCAGGATTGAGTTCTCAGTTCTGGTGGTTGCTGGTCCAGGGCGAGGCCCTCCAAAGTAAGGAGAAGCATGCAATTGCCAGCATATCCCAGAGGCCCCAGACACAGTGGCCCAGGGCTCAGCATCTTGTGGGGTTGGCAACACCAAGCCACTACTTTGGTCCTGCCTGACTCCTGCTCTTGCATGACTAAGTGGTTTCTTGCATGTCACCTCAGAGTGGGTATCCTAGTTCATCATGCCTGGGGAACTCCAGCTCAGGCCAGGCCCCTGCCCCACCTCTTCTATTCTGGGTGCTTCCGGGAGTGTGGCTTTGGGTGGGCAGGCCAGGGCTTGCCTGTGAAACACCTGAGGCACCAGTTACCTAAGCCCACTTGTTTATCTCTGTTTCTCCTTTGGTTCCAGTATTGAGTGGGTCCCGCCCTGGTGAGTGACATGATCACCCTGGAGTCTTGTTTTCTCTTTTTCCTAGTTACACTCTTTCTGCCCTAAAGCCCATCATCTGGCCCAGCCCAGCCCATGAGGGAGGCCCAGCAGGCAGGAGCAGCAGCCAGTGCAGGCACACTGCTTGTCCTACCAGCACGGGAACCACCACAGCTTCTCAGGCCCCTGGACTGCATCCCAGCCATCTATCTTGAGACAACCACCACGGCACCTCTACTGGCCATCACGCTGTGCAAACAGTGTCACACATGCAGTCACGTACGCAATCACACAGTGTCACAGTCACAAAGTACCAACTAGTCAAATACACTGGTTCACGCTGTCACATGCATTCAAAGTTTCACGCGGCTATATATGATCACACATTGTCACACGGTGTGACCTGGAGTCACACACAGTATCACACTGTCACACACACAGTCACACACATTGTCCCGAAAGTGTTCACACAGGAGTCCACAACACTGGCCTCCCCTTCCTACCAGGCATAGCGCTGCCAGCCAGCGGGAGTCTTCCCGCTCATCAGAGCGGCAGCGTCCACACTCGTGACGCAGGGTTTTCGTGTGACACACATCTGTTCCTGCAAACATGTGCATGCACCTGGCCCAGAGAAGCTGTCCTGAGCTATCACTGTGTGAGGGGACTGGAGGACTGGCCAAGGTTAGAGGCCGTCTGGGCCTGTGCTGACTGAGCACCTTGGCACTTCTCCGTCCTTCCTACCTCCCTGAGGTGCAAGCACGGCTTTACATCCGGTGCCAGGGAAACCCCATGTGGGAGGTTCTATAGCGATTTAGTGCGCCTCTTGGACACTAGGAATCTATACGCATCACATGCAGCAGAGGCGTGCCCCTTGGCAGCGTATCTTGGCTAATGGAAGACACTAGGGACCACTCTCATGGAGGTCCCCTGCCTCAGCCTGGAACAAGTCACCAAGCTTTCCCAGTCAGCTGACCAGAGGAGACCAGAGCTGACACAGCCAGTCACTCAGACACTGCCTTCCTGACTAAGACTCTGAAAAGTGACTCAGAGTAGAATGGGTGGTAGGATCTTCAGCTAGTGACATGCTTCTGACTCAGGAAGGAAATTGCCTGGATCTCGGGGGGGTAACTGTAAAACCATGACCTCAGTCTGAGGTTTCTACTACTTCCTGAGATCCATCAGTGGCCAGGCGTGGCCTAAAGGCACGGAGAAGGCAGGCTGCCAGGTGGGTGGCGGCTACAAAGCTGTAGAGGAGGCCCCAAGGCAAGCTTCACTGTGCATACGAGAGCAAGGTGGCTGTGCAGCAGCCAGGCAGACCACCCCCCTGGGCTGTGGTTGGTGTCCAGAAGGGTGAGGATGTCCCAGAAACTGGAGGTAGTAGCCAGTTCTTGAAACCAAAGAGCAGCACGGCTTGCCATGGCCATTGAGGCCCAGAGTTCAGATCCACTTGGCTTCCCAAACCTTCAGGACAAAGTAGGTAACCAGCCCACCTTAGAAGGGGTTGCTATCCTCTTTTAGAGCCTTTCCTCCCGCCATGTCCTGCAACCTTCCCCTTTGTGTCCCCCTGCAGTGGAAAAGCCCAGCAGACACCGGCCTGCAAAAATCTTCCAGGGGTCCCATCAGTGAAATCTCTAGAAAACCTCAGGGTAACTGTCATTGCTGCCACCTGGTTTACTGTCCCCACCCACCCTGGGAGGGGACCCTGAGACACTGCACATACCAAGACCTTTCGAGCTTACAAATGCACCAAACAATAATGATGACAAAACACTGGGGAACTGGGAGAACCAAATTCAAATCTGTCCAGACTTATCTCTAGCCCCAGGGTGCTCTGGCCTCTACATTTCTCCCTACATTGACATGTCTATATCTGAGGCTGCATGGTCAGTGAGAGGCTCCAGTTGGGCTCAGGGTCAAGGCTTGAGAGACTCTGGATGAGGGCCCCTCCAGATCTGATGCTCCTCTGGTCCAGATCTCATCAACTTCCAGATTCGTTGGTCCTTCAGCTGTACCAGATGCTCCAACTTGATCACCTTCATCTGCAAAATCTTCAGAAGACACACAAATCTGAAAGTATCCAAAGAAGTCCCCTACCTGCCAGTTAGGCCATGGGCAGCTCCATCCTCTAGGAATGAGTGCCCAACCCCAGGTCTCACAGTGGGGTCAGGGGTGGGGGGAGGGAGTGCACAGGACCAAAGGCCCTTTGTGGAGACACTGGGAAAGATAAAACACCAGGTTCCTTGGGGAAGATTCTACAGTCAATGAGCCTGAGGAGCTTAAGATGTAGGCAGGCCATGGAGGAGGGCTGGTTTTCCTTCTGCTCCCTGCCTGTTTCTCCCGTATCAGCAAGAAGGGCCTCATGTAGAACAGGGCAGGCAGGACAGGGACTGAGGCTTCTTTGTTGCACATTTGTCCAGCCAGCAGCTGACTGATAGGAATGTGGCTGTTGTACTGCTTGCTCACCATGTACTTCCAAAAGTTGATGGCTCAAGAATAAGTGAAGGGAGCCAGAGATATTTCAATGGTTCAGGTTAAGAGTGTATACTCTCAGCTGGGCTGTGGTGGCACTTGCCTTTGATCCCAACACTTGCGAGGCAGAGGCAGGCAGATCCTCTGAGTTTGAGGCCAGCCTGGTCTACAGAGTGAGGTCTAGGATAGCCAAGGGCTTTTAGGGTTTTTTAGAAACCCTAAAAAACCTTGAAAAACTAAAAGAGTGCATACTTTTGCTGGGTTTGGTGATGCATGCCTTTCATCTCAATATTAGGGGGGCAGAGGCAGGTGTATCTCTGGGTTTGAGGCCAGCCTGGTCTATATAGTGAGTTCAAGGACAGTTGGGGCTATGTGGAGAGACCCTGTCTAAAAAATAAAGAAATATTTTTTTTTTTTTTTTTTAATGAGGGAGGCAAGTATGTACATACTGGTGACCTCTCGGAGGGGTTCAGGCTTTGGTACCTACTACCACATCAGACAGCTCAGAAGCGCCTGTAACTGCAGCTCCAGGAAGCCTCAGTCTTCCAGGGGTAGCTATCTCTACTTAAGTGTGCAAACCTTCATATGCACAAAATTTTAAATTTTGGAGGGCTGTGTCTCTCTATGTAGCCCTTGGTTGTCCTGGAGCTTTCTATGTAGATCAAGCTGGCCTTGAACTCACAAAGAATTAACTCACAGGTCATGTGTCACACCAGGTGGTAGTGGTGCACGCCTGTGATTCCAGTACTCTGGGAGGCAGAGGCAGGCAGATCTCTGTGACAGCCAAGGCTACACAGAGAAATCCTGTTTTGAAAAACAAAACAAAGAGAAGGAAAGAAAGAAAGGAAAGAAGGAAGGAAGGAAAGAAGGAAGGAAGAAAAAAGGAAGGAAGGAAGGAAGGAAGGAAGGAAGGAAGAAAGAAAGAAAGAAAGAAAGAAAGAAAGAAAGAAAGAAAGAAAGAAAGAAAAAGGAAGAAAGGCATGTGTCACAATGGCCAGCTACACATAACTTTATAACTTAAAAAAAGTTAAATAAAAAAGAGTGAATGAAAATGTAGCTACAAAAGCTAGGGAAAAGCACACATCTATACTCCCAGTCCCAGAGAGGCAGACAGGGGAATCACTGAAAATTCAAGGTAGTACATAAAGCCAGACACCTTCCCACTGCTCTTCATTCAGCGACAAACTGAAAAGCCAGGGAGCTGTGGCTAGGACCACCAATGGATTCCATCCCGTATGGCCCAGCCACAGCCTTGATACATCCTGGCTATCACCATAAATTTCTCCTAGGACTACTTCTGGTGTCTCTTCAACTCCAAAGCTGTGTGTCTCACTTATTCAGTCCTTAAATGGCAAGGTGTCAACCCTTAAATGGTAAGTTGAGAGAGTCAACCTTTAAATGGCAAGTTGATTTGTTCCTCTCTGGCTTTCCAAGGAAGAATTACAGTTCACTTGGTCAGCATGTGAGCCAGGGAGACAGTGGGGAGAGCTGTGCTGTGAACAGCAGGGCTGACAAAGACGACAGCTTCAGTTCTCCTTACTGCTTCCTTTGTACTTCTGTTTTGTAAGTCCAAAGCCACAGTAAGATCACATCACTTTCCTGTTTTCACAAGAAGGTAACTCATCAAGATTTGGGTTCACATCAGGAAGTGAGTTGGCATGCAATTGCCAATAGACCCTGTGACTCTGAAGTTCTTTGGCCCAAATTGTCCATTCTCCCCTATTGTCTTAGCTCATATGCTCCAAGAATACAGGGAGAGGTAAAAAATTGTAAGGGGCACTGGAAGGTCCTGGGAAAGAGCAGTGTGGGGCTAGAGAGATGGCTCAGGGGTTAAGAACACTGGCTGTTCTTCCAAAGGTCCCAGTAACCACATCCATCTATAGTGAGACTGGGTGCCCTCTTCTGGTATGCAGGCACTCATGCAGGCAGAACGCTATATAAATAATAAATAAATAAATTAAAAAAAAAAAAAGAAAGAGAAAAGAAAGAGCAGATGTATCCCTGCAGAGTACGTCAGAGAGCAAGGCTTATACCACACAACTAGCTGTGTACTCACAGAGCCAGGAGTACATCCACAGAACCAGGCATGCATCCACAGTACCTGGCATAAGCACACAAAACTAGGCACACACCACAAAAGCAAGTGTGCACTGCAGAATTATATATGCACTACAGAATAAGCTGTGTGTCATAGAGCCAGATGTACATGGCATAGCTAATAGCGTGTCCACAGAACCAGATGTGCACCAAAGCTAGGTATGTACTGCACATCTAAATGCTCACAAGGATCCCCAGGTGGGTTGTTTCCAGGGCCCCAGCCTTTGAAGATGAAGAAAAACCCAAGGCCCAGTTCAGGCTACTGGGGGGCAGGCAGGAGCCTCTCCAGCCAGCGTCTTATTCCTGAACTGAAGCAGGTGTTCACCCAGCACCTGCTTCCAGAGATGGGCCTCGGTCCCTACTGCCATCCAGTACTCCTGTGCTGCACTTGGGTCTGGTGTGGGCAAACCATCGAAGCAGGTGGTAAGTATCTTTTCTGCCTCTAAAAGGACTGAAATATTCCACTGTTTTCTTTTCTTCCTTCCTTCTTTCTTTCTCTCCTCTCATCTCTCTCAATCTCTCTTTTGGTTTCTTGAGACAGGGTTTCCCTGTGCAGCTTTGGCTGTCCAGGGTGTACTCAAACTCACAGTGATCCACCTGCCTCTGCCTCCCTTAGTACTGGGATTAAAGGTGTGTGCCAACACTGCCAGGCCACCAACTATTTTCTAAATAATCCAAAGAATGTTGATTCTCTCTGCTCAGGGCCCTGCACTTCCCATACACCCCTTACTGTGTCAGCGCCAGCTCTGCAGAAACTCAGCCGAGGAGTATGAATTTGGGGAAATGTGTCCCTCTGCACCTTTGTCTTGCAGCTCAGAATGTCTAGGCAGCAAGGAAGGCCCAACAGTACCATACCTTGACTGTCTCCTGCAGAATGGCTATTGCTTGCTCCTTATCCTCCAGTTGCTGCTGGATGCTGGTCAGGTCATCCCAGAACCCTTCAACGGGGTCCCTGAAAAGTAAACACTGACCTTTAATCCAGGATAGTGATCATAAGGAGGTGGGCAGGGAGAATTTGAAAGATAAGGATCCACCCTCTGCAAGCACAGCAGCCCATTTTCTCCGAATCCTTTTGATTCTGAAGGGTCTTCATGCTGACGTAGGTTGGAGGACTCTGTAGGCCTGTATGACAAATAGATACTTTCAGTTCAGGATCTTGCTTCTGGTAGGCACCCATTAGTGATAGTACATACGGATGAGGAGAGGGGACATGGGCCATAGTAGGTAAAGCAGTCTCAGAAGTTCTCATGGAAAGAGCTGGTCCTATCCTGTTGCATAGCCCTGGAAACCTTGGAAATGGCGCTTCTGTTTGAATAATGGCTTCCTGCATGGCTCACAGGCTTCCCCTTGGATGGTTGCTCGCTGGGCATTGATGAAGTCAGAACCCCTAAGTTTTATGCCTCAGAAGCCCACTACCCCCTCTGGGCCCAGGATGCACCGAGGCTTATATACCTGTCCTCTTTTGAAGGTTTGCAAGCTCCCGATCATCCCGCGCCCAGCTTTCAGGAATGTAGTGTTGTTCTCCACAGCTCTGGGACTCTGACAGGCTATCCACATTAGGATGCTGAGTTTTAGAGATATGTGGGTAGGAGGTAAGCCCTGCGGAAGGACGGGCAGCATCCACACCAAAGAGTCGTGGATCCTGCAAAGTACAAATGTTGGGAAGGGAAGGGTAGCAAGGCCGAGCATGTCTGGTCTCCATTCTGGGTGGGGCCAGTGGGTAAACTAGAGAGGGGAGGGCTTGGAGCAACTCTTAAGTGTTTTCACCGCCCTAGGCTAGGTAGGTCAGGCTGGGAAGGAGATGAGGGGCTGGAAGGACTAGATAGGAGTCTAGGTGGGACTTCATTTTATCTGGACCACAGGGACATTCATTTCTCTGTTATATTCTCACACAGATTACCCGACTGTGTGCAAAGGGCAACAGACACAGCACACTTGTAGGCTGAACTGATGTGCAGGCACTTACAGCCGTAGCAGCTGAGCTTACATGAAGAGGGCTGGCCTCCACCCTCTCCCTCAGCATACACAGGATAGACTCGATAACTCCAGGCCTGTTGGACACCACCTTTTGGATATCAGCTTCTGAGATACACAAGTGCAGCTTTCGAAAGACTTTCCTGTGAAGAAAGTAGGGGTGTGCTCTGAAAGCAGTACGTCCAAGGGCTGGGCATAGCTCTCCCTACAGTCCTGTCCTCCATGCCTTCCAGCCGCTGGACAACATCTAGCTTTCTTGGAGAGGATAACAAAGAGCTCCTTTATGCTCTGCACCCTAGGGGCCCATGTCTATCCTGGCTTAGTAGGCCTGTCTCAGGAGATCCACACAGCATCCTGGCTACCCACACACGTTCCCCACCTTGCTCTGCTCAATCAGTTCTGCTCAGGGCCCTCAATGATTTGACTACACTGGATGTGTCTGCCCTACTCTCGCTGGTTGTTCTTGATATCACACCAAACATACAAGCAGGAACTTGTCTGAGGACAGTTTGGAAGGTGGGGTAAACCGCTGTGGCAGGGGCCCCCCAGGCTGACGTGATGTGCAACCCTGGTTGTGGTACAATTCTGTCGGCAAGGGCCCATAGTAAAGCAGTCAGAGACCCATAACTGGCGAGGGCATCCCTGGGGGCCAACCTTGGTGGGGTTGATCTCCCAGGCCTTGCCTGTTGAGAAGGCTCCAATTGCTTAGCTTCTGGTCTGTACTGCAGGCTGGGACGTAGCTGTGCAAGTCCACCAGCCGAGGGCGGAAGTGCTTCACAATCTCGGCCACCAGCACTGCGGGAATGCAATGTGAACTTGGCTTGCCTGGTTAAGACCCTGGGTTGCAGCTGTAATCCCTGGCCACATGAGTTGCATGGATTGGAGTAGGAAGGGCACGAGCTCGTCTTGGGGAGCCCATGATTGTTCCCGGGAGTGCTCGGCACCGACCTAGAGTCCAGGACAGACCATGTGGTAGGACGGTCTGGGGAGCTAACACAGCGTGAGAGCCCAGGAGAAATGGAGGAGGCTATGTCTGCCACTACCCTTTCTAAGCAGTTCGAGTCTGGACTCCAGAAACGCCCCGTTCTCCCACCCCAACCCGTACTAGGGGGCTGGGTGCAAGGGCGGTCCTCAGCTCTGAGCCCTCTTCATCATCTGCCCCATTGCCCCTCGCCCTCACTCGCACCACCATCACTGAAGTCTCGAGCCAGGTGGCGCTTGGGGCGGCTGAGTGGGAGCTTGTCCAGCCAGGCGCAGAGGTTATGAATTTCCCCAGGCGTTGGCAGGAACTCAGGAGAGCTCTGCTTAGAAGCACTGAGCATGATAGAGGAGTCAGTCTGCAGCAGCGATACACAGCGGAAGTTGGTGGGTTTGGACCGTTGCTGGGAGGCTGGACACAGCCGGAAGGGGCGGGGCCCTCATCTCACCCGGCCCGCCCCCATCCCAGGGAGAATTGGTGGTCCTGTAAGTCAGGAGACGGAACCGAATTAAGGCAGATGGCTAAAATTAAGGGAGAAGATTCGTGAAATAGCTTGATCCGGTGTGATAAAAAACCAAACTGCCCTTTAGAATGTGGTCTATAATCTACTGATAAAAAGAATCTTTATTAATGAATAGTGTTTATTCCGAGTTTCAACAACCATTCTGTCCCAACCCGGAAATGACCTGTCTCAACACCCGGAGAACGTGGCTTTTCCTTCCTAAATCTCATACACGAATGGGCTGTAGGTACAGGACCTGTGCAGAGCTGCCCCGGCCTTTGGGAGGGCGGGGGGGCGGGGAATCACTGCGTGAGGGCGGGTGCAGAGGTTGCTGGGAGGGGACTCTTGGCTTCCTGCCAACACCGGAAGACAAGCATGCTCACTGCAGGTGATGCTGTCCCAGCATAGCAACTATAGACATGGCCTAAGCTGGCCAAGGCCAGTCAGTGGACACGGGTTCAGGAGGGCGGCTGGACAGCAAGAGCCACAGAGAGATTATTCCTGAGGTAGAAATGGTGTGTGCAGGTCCAGCTTGAGTGGGAGCTGTTGCTGAAGAAACATGTCCGCAGGAGCGCTGGTATCTCCAAACTTCCACAAGCCTATGATGGCCCTGGGGTGCCGAAGCATTCACCTCTTCTGAATGGGGACCTTCAGAGGAACCTTTGGCGCACCAGCTCCCTGCCAAGAAGAAAAGGCAACTGATACTAAAGAACATCTGATCTGCTGTAAGAGAGGTACAACTGATTTTTCCCGTATACAGGTCTTTAAATTTAGATTCTCACTTCCCCTAACAGCAGAATCTATGGCCCCATCCACACAAGATGACTGTACTAACATTTCATTTACGGTGTAGACTTGCCATATAAGGAAAATTGATAGGCCCTGAAAGCAGCAAGCAACAAAGCGTTCTGGCAGATTATAAAGCAGATATCAAGCCTGTTACTGAGGATTTTCCCCATTTTCTATTCAGATGTCAATAAACTTTAGCAGTTAACAAAACAAAAACACCCACTCATCCTCCAGAGCAGTGCTCACCTGAGTCACTCCAGTCCCAGGCTTGACTGGTGGTGTTGGGGGTGCAAAGGTTGGCTTGACCTGGAAGGAACCAGACACAGCTGATGAGGGACATCTCCTAAGAGGCCAAACACTGTCCTCAGCTTTGTCCTCCTACGGCTGTTCTACTCAGCTCCAGACTAGCCCTGAAGACTTCTATCTTCACACAGCCCTGCAGGGAAGCCCTCCATGGCTGCACCACTCACACTCTAAAGCCTGAACCTGGCAGAATTCCTCTTCCTGCTTAGTTGTCCCGACCCATCTTGCAGTCTTGCCAATAGCCCACATTACCCTGGGGCTCCTACCTTTTCAGAACACGGGTCTTTAGCAGCTCAGAAGGAAAAAAAAATCACTACTAAAACACATTTCTTTGTATTTCCATCTTCCTAGAGAAGATGGTAATCTGGCATTGGTGAGCTTCAGCATATCTGGAAGAATTTGCCCAGCTTTCTTCCTGGGTGAGGCACATTTTGACCTTCTTCCTCATCCAGCTTTTTTTAATCCTTGCCCAGAAATCTCTGCGCATTGCCCTATTCTACCAGTAGGACTGCTCCTAGGATGTTTTGTTTTAAGATTTATTTACTTATTATTTATACAGCACATCAGAAAAGGGCACCAGATCTCACTGTAGATGGTTGTGAGCTACCCTGTGGTTGCTGGGAGTTGAACTCAGGACCTTTGGAAGAAAGCCAGTGTTCTTAACCTCTGAGCCATCTCTCCAGCCCAAGTTTTGCTTTTTTTCTTTTCTTTTCTTTTCTTTCTTTTTTCTTCTCTTTTCTCTTCTTCCTTGCTTTTCCTCCTCTGCCTTCTTTTTTGAGACAGGGTTTTTTGTGTAGATCTGGCTATCCTGGACTCACTCTGTAGACGAGGCTGGCCTTGAATTTAGAGATTCAACTTCCTCTGCCCTGAGTTCTGGGATTAAAGGAACTTTTCAGCTCTTTTTTATTTTCAGCTCTTTATATAAGCCTAAAATTAGTCCCTGGCCAGGCACAGTGGTATACATTTTTAATCCCAACACTCAGGAGGCTAAAGCAGGCAGATCTCTGTGAGTCTGAGGCTAGCCTGATCTACATAGAGAGCTTTGGGCCAATCAAGGCTTCATATTGAGACCCTAGCTCAAAAAGAAAAAAGAAAGACAATTAAATAAAATCATCCCTCCAACAAAAAGAAAAACAAAATCACAGGTGTGAAGGCTCACACCTCTAGTGCCAATACTCAGAAAGCTGACACAGGAAGACTACTATGAGTTTAAGGGACAGCCTGGGCTACATAGTGAGTTCCTTATCAACTTAGGCTATATGGTGAGACTTTATTAAAAAAAAAAAAAAAAAAAAAGACAAAATAAAACTCTGGGGGCCTGTATGATGGCTGAATGGGTTAAGACATTTGCTGTGCAAGCATGGTGATTTGAATTCAATCTCTGCAACATATATAAAAGTGGATGGAATGAACCAATGCCACAACAACGTTGTCCTCTGATATCCTCTTGTATGCTGTGGCATGCACGCACACACCACACACAAACACGCGCACACACTCCACCTCCCACCATAATAATCATCATCATCATCATCAGCAGCAGCAGCAGCAGCAGTAGCAGCAGCAAGGGCCACTGAGATTGGTTATCCAGTAGAAGTGCTTGCAGAACAAACCTGATGACCTGAGTTTGAGCCCCAGAATCCAAGTAAAAGTCAATTTTCCAAAGTGGTCCTCTGACCTCCACATGTGCACCATGGCACACATACCCACACACATCCTGCACACAATAATAATTTAAGTAGACCAAAAATGGAAGACAAATAAAATCATGATAGCAAAACACGGTGACAATTGTTAGAGGTCAAGTGTCAAAGTTTCCAGAGATGTGGGATGTTAAGCGTTTCCAGATGACTTCCCAGACATTCATTCATTTCTTTCCCTAGGCATCAATTCATCCAATACAAAGATAGCTCCCAGCAGAGAAAACACAGATATTCAGACCCCCGTCTCACCCTGGTTACTTTCCAGGCTATTCTTTCTAAAAGTATCACCCACATCCACTTACACTCAAAAGAGAAGAAGCAGACAAACTAACTGAGGGACACTCAGAAAATTGTGAACTAGCACTTTCGACATGAGAATTGTGGATTGAAAACTACAAGTGCCCAGAAGAGCAGATAAGATCCTCAATAAGGCCTAATACAGAACAAGGAACAAGAACTTATTCTTTAGGTCCTACACAAGCTACCCTTGTGGGATTTTCCTGGAGCCCACTACTTTGTGGCCTTCCCAGACTTCACTTGCTCACCAAAAACTCCCTCAGCCCTGCCTCAGAGGAGCACAGATGCCTGCCTGGGAGGATGGCCCGAGGCAGTCAGTGGGCAGTTGACCTGTGCAGTCAAAGCCTGTGTCAGAGCTCGGAGGCCATTTGGGGTTTGTTCTGCTGCTCCCTGGGACAGGCAAACCTATGCACACACATACAGGTTCTCCTCCCATCCAGCCATGATTCGAGAGTAGCCACCTAGGGCTCAGGCTAGGGTAGTGTCCCATGCTGCTCTCACAGGTAGGAGCCCACTTTTAGGGCTAAAAAAAAGGGTTCCAGTTCACCTACAGATGAGGAGCCCTGCTGAGAAGGACTCCAACACTATGGGGACAAAAGGAATGGAATGACTCTCTGCCAAAGCTTTAGTCAGTGGCATTTTGGGACCTTCCAAACTCCAGTGGCCTCCTCCCAAAGGGATGTAGGATGGTTGGTCTCTCGAGCATAGGGCCATAGACTTGTTGGAGAGGATGGTCTCAGAGTTAAGGCTATCCCCTTACCTGCTTGGGTTTCGGGAGGGGCTTAGTGGGTGGAACAGGTCCAAGCTGTTGGGAAAAAAAGAGAATCAGTATCCACAGACTAGACCAGTTCAGATTACGGCAGTACCTTCTCCCTCCCTGAAAATCAACCCTTAGGTTCAATTTAATATGCTGGCTAGGCAGGGCTAACTTATTTTCCCTGTGCAGAAGCTGTTTCCCTAGGGCTCCAGGGCCACAGAGTCAGCCAACAGATACCACCTTCTAGGAGGTTTGTTTCCATGTCCCCGAAACACACATGGCTGTTTCCCAAGATTTGGTACCTTTTGGGCGTAAACTGGAACTGGGAGTGCTGGACTGGACATGGCACCTGGAGGCTTCGGGAAACAGAGATGTGAGCATAGGCCCAAGAAGCAGTGCTAAGGCCCCAACCCATGCCCACCAAGTCCCCTGCTTTAGGACCCAAGGCTCTTACACTTCCCAGATGGTTAACCCCTGCCCTGTCCCATTTCCTGCTCACCCTAGGCTAGATGCATGGCCCATCACTTTCCCCAGCTACGTCGTCACATTTAAGGAGCAGCAAGGGTGTTTTCTTCTCACAGCTCTGGTCTGAGAGCCCCAGAGCCCCCAAACCCATTAGTTCAAGTCCAAACTCCAAATATAGATCCTTAGAAGACAGTTCTTGATTTAGTCCTTCCCCATCCCTTACGGTGATTATAATACTTCTCTAAGGCTCCAGGCTACTGCTCAAGATTTAATTTGTACAAAAAGGCTTCACTATGCCTAACCGATCCCCTCACTATCGGTAATGGGTCCCACCCTGGGGGGAGGGATGGAGAGCCCGAGTTTCCCTCATTTCGGCCCCATGAACCTGACAGAAGACAGTACTTACTGCAGGGGGAGGCCTCTTTGGTGTCACTGTGGGTCTTGAGGGCTGGTTGGTAGAGGCCATCTCTGGAGGGCCTGGAGGCCTGCTCTTATCTGGCAGGCTGCTGTCCCCCGTGTAGAAAAGAGGGTTCGAGAGCCCTATGGTAGGTTTGGGTGCCACACACCTGGGGAGAAAGAGACCAGCAATGGTGTAGTCACTTCTAGCCAGAGAATCCAGGACTCCTGGGCACGCCTCCCAACTCAGGCTGCCATCTGTGCCCTGGTACGCCTCACATAGGATGCAAGCTATAGTCATAGGCACACGTGTGAGCATGGGAGGCCAAGGAGCAAGTGTCTTGGCAGCTATGCTAGGAAAGTACTTGGAGGACCTGGGAAAAGCTGTCCTTTAACAGTCATCTTGGGGTTCAAGGTCTTGGTGGAGGGCAGAGTGGGAACATAGTGAGACATATGTGGCCATGGCTAGGTGTGGGGAGGCTATCTCAACTCTAGATTTATCATAACCCTATCTGTTGCCCACACTGTCCCCTTATAGCCTAGAAAGAGAAGAAGAAGAGGATGAGAAGGAGGAGGGGAAGGGGCAGGAGGGGGAGGAGGAGAAGGAGGAGGAGGAGGAGGAGGAGGAGGAGGAGGAGGAGGAGGAGGAG